AAAAAAAGGGGGGGGGGGGGGGAAAGCTTTCTATCAAACATAATTAATCACAGTTTTATATTCCTCCCCACGTTCATAACTGAAGCTGCAAAATTGCAATTTTTAAGGTTTCCACAACCCCTTTGCAATGGCAATTGCAGCAGCACTTATTTGCCCGCAATTTTGTTAATCAAAATTCAAAAGGCAACAACAATCACAACCACAACCACAGTTTAAAACTATGCACATTCCCATATGCATCAAATAAAACTCACCATCAAATTTGTCGTTCTGTGCAGCAACTATCGGTGACCCCTCAAGCTGTTATCATTAGTCAAACCAGAAAATAAGAACAAATAACTACACTTTAAAACAAATAAATAAATGAACCACTAGGGTCGCTCTAGTAGTGAAAGATTAGGATAATACAAAAAAATAAATAAATAGAGTAAATAGCCAGTTCGATTCTCAATGCGGTGAGCGTTTGAGCAACGTCACATTAGTTCCTAAAACTAAGAAAATGTTAAACAAACTCTTAAATTTAATTACTTAAAGCCATTTTGTTCCTACTATATCAATATAATCACTTTAGTCACATTTTTTTTATAATTTTGAACTAATGTGATTATAAATTTGCACTTTGAATGATAGACACCTTCCAAATTCGGGGACCAAAGTGACAATTTACTCAATAAATAAACAATAAAAAAAAACACAGTACTAAAGTAAATTCAGCAACACGAGTTCAGAAATTGGTTAGACTTAGACACCTTGCAAGACAAGAGCTTGATGCAACAGCCATCAGGCTGCTCTTCCACCTTAACCAACAACACCGGACAAACCTCAAAGGCGAAGAACTTGATCCTATAAACGTAACACCTAAAGGTGTCGTCGTTCACCCGCTCAATCCTCTCCGCGTCCAACACAGAATACTGACTCGCCGGCAACCGCATGTACTCAACTGCACACACCATGGAATCACCAAAAATTTCAAGTGAAAAATGTTAAGAACAAGAAAAGGAAAACAATTAATTAATTAATTAACATGGGTCTGGCATTACTTAGGGGGCGTTGGAGTTGCCGAACCGAAAGGGACTCCTTGCGGCGAGCGACGAAGCGAGCCTTGTGGGTCGGAGTGGCCGAAGCACGAAGCGAAGAAGGGCGTGGGGACTTAAGGGCGCATTGGGTGCAGAGAAAGGAAGGAAGAAGAGAAGAAGAAGAAGAAGAAGAAGAAGAAGCCATCCACCAAAGTGATGAGTAATAGATGGATAGATAGCTCTGTTATGGGACACTGCAAGAGCTATGAAGGAAGGAAGAAAGACATGGTCACAAAACGTGAGCCAAGAATGAGCGCACGTGACTCACGTGACAAGCTTTTATCTTCTTTTAACAGTGGTTTGAGCTTGAAGGCGTAATATACTGTTTTTGTTTTTGTTTTTATTTTATTATTATAAATGAATATTAATTTGTATAAAAATATATATTAATTATTGTACTATCTCAAATATAATCTGAGATGAGCTCGTTGAGAGGTGTAAAAGTGAAAGATAAATATCTGACTTATTTGGATAAGTTCATAAAAAATCGATTCGAATAAGAATATATAACTCATGTCATTCTTAGAGGGGGATTTGGTATTCACTAAGACACGTACCATATTGGGTTAAGACATTAGCCAATTATCAATCTATCTATATAGAATTGAGTAACTTGACCTCCTAGAGTATATATGTATTAATCCAATTTGAGTCTCATATCTAGTACTAAATCTTATCTTTATTAGCTAAAGATCATGTAATCAAATGATAAATAATTACCCTATCAAATCCCGAAATCCTCAAGGCTCATGAACCTATAAACAATCAACTATAAATATTTTAACCCTAGGGTAAGGACGGAAAATTATACTTTTAAATGCTTTGACTTTATTTGAGCGCTTAAACAAAATCCTAGACATTCTCCAGACCGAAACATTTTGGCACTCACCATGGGTCTACAATGAAACCTTCTCCTACATCTCAAAGACTATTAATTGAGAAAGGTGTAAGGAGGTTATGGTGGAGATGGCAAGGAGACCGACGTCAAATCATGAAGCTCGACATCTAACAATGGGGAGATGATGACCTTGATCAATGATTTGAGGGATGAGAACACTCAGGCAAGGGAGAGAGAAGATGTTATTAGAAGGGAGAATAAAGAAATTCGGCGAAGGGCGGATAAAATGCAGGCACCAATACAAGCTAACCTTAGGTCGATACATGGAGATGTGATGGTAAAAGTGCCAAGGGACTTTAGACCCTTTTTAGAAGCAATCAAGGCGGAGTCATTCCACGAGACCATATGGTGCCCCAAATTGCTTTGTTTGATGGGACGTAGGACCTAAGTGAATATCTGAAGGATTTTCGCGCCCAAATGTTGATCTATGGAGGAAGCATGGGAGTGTGGTGCAAGTTGTTCATGGGAACCTTAAAGAAAGTGACTTTGGATTGGTTTAATGGCATGTCAGATTGGTCCATAACCAATTTTGATGTATTCAGTCATTTATTTGTGGCCCAATTTGCCACGAATAAGAAAAAAAAAACCTATTATGTTGAACATATTCGATTTAAAGCAACAATGAGGGGAGTCTTTAGAAGATTTTTTTTCAAAGGTTTAATGAAGTTTCATTAAAGATTTCATCTTTGGATGAAAAGATAGTGGTTATAGTGTTCCAAAAGGGTTTATGATCGAGAAGTTTTAACGTTTTCTTAAAAAAGATGAATTACCAAATAATAGTCAAGGTAAGAGCATTTTCTCTAAGCCACATAAAGTCGGAGGAAGGGTAGATCAATAAGAGCAGCTGAAAACCAGAATTTGGTTGTAAAAAGTAAAGAAAAGAAGAATCATTTGTGTTTGCAATCTGATTGAAATAAGAGAAAAGATTGTTACATCCAAGAAGAGAGGAAAATGTTAGACAATTGAGTTTTGGAGGTTTGTAGAAATACGAGTGCGTGGGGAATTATGAGTAGGAAAAAAATTAGTTGGGGGAAAAAGAAAAAAGAAAAACGATAATTCAAAAAAGAAGAAAGTTTGGGGAAGAAAAGAAGAATGTCATATAAAAAGAGACAAAGAAACTAGTGTTGGCTAATCACATCCAAGAAATTCAATACCCAACATAGTTGGTAAATGTGGTAATGGTGAATAAGAGTAATGGAAAGTGAAGGATATGTATCAACTTCACAGACTTGAACAAGGCTTGCCCAAAGGATTTATATCATTTACCTAACATAGACTACTTAGTTGATGATGCGTCAAGATACAAGCTTTTAAGTTTCATGGATGCCTACTTGGGTTATAATCAAATCCGAATGCATTTAGCAGATGAAGATAAAGTGACATTCATTGTAGTTCAAGCTAATTATTGTTACAACGTCATGCCTTTCAACTTGAAGAATGTTGGAGCCACATATCAAAAGTTGATGGAAAAAGTACTAGCAAACCAACTTGACAGAAATGTATAAGCATATAAGGATGACATGGTGGTTAAATTCATCAATGTTAGTTGACATTTTTTCGACCCCCAAGTTTGTTTGATACTATTGGTAGGTACCAACTTAAGTTGAATCTGGACAAGTTCCCTTCGAGTGTACAAGTAGGGAAGTTTCTGGGTGTCTTATTGACTCATTAAGGGATTGAAGCTAATTTGGATTAGTGTTCAACAATGTGTGCAAGAAAGCAAGCCGCATCAGATAAATCTTGCCTAATCACACTTCGGACAAGCTTCTAAACTTTTGTATATTTGAATTTCCTTGTATTGTTGCACACTTTTGCTTATGAGATCAGATTACATACTCAAATTTTCTCTAAAAAGATCTTAGTTTTCTAAAGGGAGAAACTTCTCCTTAAGTTCTTTTATCAAATATCCTTTTTTGTGCCAAGAACTTTCACTTGCTCATCTTCAAGATTTGGAGTGGCGCATTCGTCTTCTTCCTATTTCCATCTTATTTGTTATGAATTGGAGTCTTGAATCCATGGAAAAGATTAGGAGCTTCAACAAACCCTAGAGGAGGAGAAACAACAAGCATCTCCACTACTAATTTCATCATCTTTAGTATCAAAGCTTGCTTCTTCCATGGAAGTGCTTTCTTCTCTCGTTTTTATGTTGTCTATTTGTCTTATTATATTTCTTGATTTCATTGTTTCTTAGATCTAAATTTTTGCACATTAATTTTTAGATCTAAAATTTGTCTCCAAATTTTGGTTCAAATGCATGCTAGTCTAGTTTATATGGACCAAATCTTCATTATGTTGTGTTGGATTCCTTGTGCCTTAATTTTTTTTGTGTTTTGAATTTGTTTTTGATATTTAAAATCTAAAGAAAAAAATCATAAAGTATGAGTTCTAGGAATTATTTTTAAATTTTTGAATCTATACATATTGTCTAGAAGTCATGTATAGTTCTTTCTTGCTTATCTTTTCTTAATATTCTATTCTTGTAACCTGATTTCCAATTTCTTTAAATTGGCCTTATAATTTTTTTTTGCAAAAGGATTAGATTATTTCTTATACTCTTATTTCTGAATAATATTCTGCTTGTAAAAAAAAATTAGCCGAGGAAAGCTACAGGCACTGTTAATTTAAAGATAACACCTACCATGTAGGTGTTTCTTTTAACTTTTTGAATATAATATAAAATGCTCACCTCTCCCGACGTTTTTCTTCAATGGCCTGGGCAGGTGTTTTATGTAATATGAAATGCCTCCAACATTTTTTTTTTAGGTTCGTTCCTGGAGTATTCACTACCGATAACAGTGATTAATTTCCTTCTTACGTCGGAGGTACTTCAAAAAGTAGGATAGTTAGTCCCAAGATTTAACGCAACTGCATACACAAGGCAAGATTCGAACTCCTCACCTTGTTTTTCTTTTTAGTTCAACCTAGTAGCATTTTATTTGAATTGTTGCCAACTGGCAAAAATTATTCAATCTGGCAAATAATTTTTAATAATTTATTTTAAAATTTTAAATTATATTTTTATTTATGTTGACAAAAAGCCGATTAGCGAAGACAAAAAGGAGCGGTGCGATGGTAGAGAAGGAAAATAAGAAGGGCGAATCGGGAAAAATAAAGAAATAAAGAAAAAAGAAAAAATGTAAAAAAAAAAATCAAAATCACTCATTTAAAAATAAGAAAAATTACAAGGATCTCCTTTAAAGTCTTTTTAAATAACATACATCTGTCTTCTAATTTTTTAATAAACACTAACTTTTTCTTCTAATTTTTTAATAAACACTATTTTTTTTTATTTAAATCACACGTATTTTCTTTTATATAAAATAACATTATTTATATATTATTTAAAAATAACAAATTAATAAAAGTGCTAATAATTAAATAAAACTTAAGTCTTACTCAATTTTAACTCTCAAATTATAAAATATGCCGACTTCAAAAAATAATTTAAAATAACAATGAAAAATTATTTCTAAAATTAAAAAATAATAAAAATTTCATAAAAAAATATAGCATTGGACATAATTCAAAAATGAGGATAGATACATATAATTGATAATATATAAATTAAATTTTATTTTCCTTTCTTTTCTTACTTTAACTTATGATATTATTATTCTAAGGAAAGTGTAAGGAAGATGAATGATTTTTAAAAATTTAAAATGATTAAAATATATATATATA